ACTCTCTCCGTGACTCCCTTGTCCGCTCCACACTCCCCTCCAGCTCCACCACACCCGGCACTTTTCCCTGCAACCGCAGGAAGTGCTACACCTGCCCCCATACCTCCTCCCTCACCCCCATCCCAGGCCCCAAGAAGACTTTCCACATCAAGCAGATGTTCACCTGCACATCTGCCAATGTGGTATACTGCATCCGCTGTACCCGGTGTGGCTTCCTCTACATCGGGGAAACCAAGCGGAGACTCGGGGACCGCTTTGCAGAACACCTACGCTCGGTTCGCAACAAACAACTGCACCTCCCAGTCGCGAACCATTTCAACTCCCCCTCCCATTCCTCAGACGACATGTCCATCCTGGGCCTCCTGCAGTGCCACAACGATGCCACCCGAAGGTTGCAGGAACAGCAACTCATATTCCGCTTGGGAACCCTGCAGCCCAATGGTATCAATGTGGATTTCACAAGTTTCAAAATCTCCCCTCCCCCCACCGCATCCCAAAACCAGTCCAGCTCGTCCCTGCCTCCCTAACCTGTTCTTCCTCCCACCTATCCCCTCCTCCCACCTCAAGCCGCACCTCCATCTCCTACCGACCAACCTCATCCCGCCCCCTTGACCTGTCCGTCCTCCCTGGACTGACCTATCCCCTTCCTAACTCCCTACCTACACTCACCTTTCCTGGCCCCATCCCCGCCTCTTCGACCTGTTTGTTTCCTCTCCACCTATCCTCTCCTCTATCCCTCTTCTATCCGCCTCCCACTCTCTCCCTATTTATTTCAAAACCCCCTTCCCCTCCCCCTTTTCTGATGAAGGGTCTAGGCCCGAAACGTCAGCCTCTCTGCTCCTATGATGCTGCTTGGCCTGCTGTGTTCATCCAGCCCTGCACCTTGTTGTCTCAATATGGAGAGCTTGTGCAGATTCCAACCGCCCTTTCCCATCCTTATAAACATCGGAGAGACTTCATCCTTAGGCATTTGTAGGAGTACGGTTTTATGGCCTTACCTCATCAAACCAAAGCAACGGCAACAGCACGGGCTTGATTTTTCCAGTTTCCCTTGAAATAGAAAATACAAGAAATGTAATTAAGAATATACACAACTGCCGGCCTCTCTGACAATGCACGACACCATCCTGAGGAAGAGGACGAGAAAGGCCTTGAATCTCAAAGCTCAGCCCTAGTTGCAGAAGGGTGACCCGGATCGTTGGATTTTACCCCCATCCTGGTTGATACAGTGAACAATATCTACTGTTTAACATGGAGGTTTGCTGAGTTGTCTGCCAGAGAGTGGAAGCATTGATGGACAAGTTCCAAATGCAGTTTTATACTCACGATATTCCCCGCACTGCCTTCACAAACAGATTTAGTTGTAATTTGATGGACACATTCAAAGGGATTCCAGTTAACTGAAAGGAAGAAACAGATCACATTTTAAATTGATAAAATGGGTTACAGCAGCTACTCAAAAAGGGCAGTTTTAATTACCAGGAACATGAGGGTCACCTAAATGTTGAAAACGGGAATCCTGGTATCTTCTGCTTGAATGATCTTCAGACTAAAAGTGACTTCAAGCTCCAATTACATTTACGCAACAGGAATAGGCCATTCAGCCAATCAGTGCCAGGCTGTATATAGAGTCAGAGTCATACAGTACAGACAGGTCCTTCAGCCCATTGAGTCTGCACTGAGAAAAAAGAACCATCACTATTTATACTAGTCCTACCTTTCTCGCACTTGAAGTATCATAACATTGAAAGCTATGAGTCAAGTGCTCATCCAAGTACTTTTAGAATAGGGAGGTTTCCTGCCTTAACTACCCTTTCCAGGCAGTGCATTCCACAGCCCCACCACTCTCTAGGTGAAAACTTTTGCCTCAAATCCCCCCTAAACCTCCTGCATTTCACTTTAAAATGGTGCCCCCTGTTAGGACCCTTTAACTAACAGGAACAGCTGATTTCTAGTCACCCTGTCCATGATCCTCCACCCACCCAACCCCCAAAAAGTCTTGTACACCTCTGTTGGGTGCCCCCTAATCATCTCAGCTACAAAGAAAACAACCTGAGCTTATCCAGCCTGTCTTCAGAGCTGACCTGCTCCATCACAGGCAACATCCTGGTGCATTTCCTCTGTAGCCCGTCCAGTGCAATCACATCCTTCCGGTAGTGTGGTGACCAGAACTGCATGCAGTGCGCCAGCTGTAGCCTAAAATATGTTCTAGACAGCTTCAACATAACTTACTTGCTCTTATAATCTATGCCATGACTGATAACAGCAACCATCCTGTGTGCCAGCTTTACCATTCTACTAATGCTACTGGGGGAGATGAAGAACTAGTGGTATTGCTAGGCTATTAATTTAAATCCTACCATGGCAGATGGTGGCATTTGAATTCAGCAAAAATCTGGAATGGTGAGATTCAAACCCATGTACCTAGATTACTAGTCCAGTGAGATGACTACAACACCACTGCCTCCCATGGCATCACTGTTGAGAGAGTTTGGCTTGACACAACATGGAGACAGTTGAACCAAATCAGCCTTTTTGCCTTCATACATTCACAACACCAAAATTAAAACCCTCAAAAGACCCTCACAAATGGATCCCAATGGTTCCTAACCACATTTTTGAATAACCAAATCCAGGCTCTACAAATAATTACTTCTCAGCACCAGCTCGTATCTCAAACGACGGATTTAACAATTTATTAACAACATAGTAACTTTAACAGAGCAAAATTAACAAAGTAATCTAACTGAGGCCAATAATTAAACTTTTGTTTTTAGCCCCATTCACACAAAAGCCAGACAAAAACTCATTTAAAGTAAATAAAAAAAACCTAACAAGACTGGCAAGATTACTCATGCACATTATTTAAGGTGTGTTGTACCACAGGCAAAGATGATCATGTCTAGGTTGATTTTCTGAAGATACCCTTGAAGTGTCCTTTTCATTTCCTTCAGAGGAAAATCAGTGATACTTATAACTTAATTCCTATTCTCTGAATTTCCAATGGCCAATAACGAGGGGTTAGGCAGGGACTTTTTGAATCTTCATGCTGTAGCATCGATAGCCAAACCCCACCCCCCCACAGAAAATAGAGTTCAAAATTTCTCTCTCTCCCTCTCCCTGACAGCCTGACCATCTCAAGGTTCTAGTTACCACTCAACATCTGCCATCTTGAGCGTAAAGTCTCTCCTCAACTTTCTGGAAACCATTTCCAGGCACTGACCTGTTAAGTGGCCAACATTTACTGTTGTTACTTGCTATCTGTTTAAACACACTGCCCTCCCCTGGTGACAGAACATCTGTAGAACCTTTTGTTCAAGAACCAGGTCTGACCTCAAACAAACAACTGCTTGCTTGTCCTTGCTCCCTTCCAATAGCATGAGTATTGTCCACAGTACAAAAGCTCATTTTCAGTTCACAGCTCCAAACCAAAGTTGATAAAAGAAAGAACAAAAATACAAATTATGAAAAATCTAACAGGTATGATCCAGGAATCCAAACTGCAATGACAATCAGCTGTGTTTTTGCTCCAAACAGAGTTCAGAAGGCACAGCTATCGATGAACCTCAAGTTGTCTGACTTATACTAGACAGGTTTGGTAAACTCTGTCATGTTCTTTGCAGTTGGGTAGTTGTTGTTATTCTCTCTCTCTCTCTCTCTCTCTCTGCTCAGACACAGCAGCTGCAGTGTTTGTGACGGGAGAGAGATTTCAGCATCGAGTGACAGATTACTGGTGATTGTGGAGCTATGTGAAGCTAGCAACACCCTCCAGAGTCACATTGTCAATGCTGAGAGATGACACAATGGCAACATCCTGGAGCATGACCTTTGTGTTCCTGAAGCTGACAGTCAAACCAAACTCTTTCTCAGTATGACCGAGTCTGTCCATTTGCTGCTGCAGCTGTTCCTCAGTGTGGCATTGTCAGCGCACAACCACTTTGTGATGGGAGCTCAGAGCACCTTTGATGCTCACCCGAGATCCCTGTTAATGAACAGCTTTCTGTCTGTTCTGGTCTGTAGATGACCTGATGGTATTTGATAGCAGCAAAGAGAAAAATGCGCCATTATTTCAGTGCCGGAACACAACAGTGTTTGCCCCCACTGCAGATATTAAAGGGTTCCTGTGTTGCTCGGTTATTGCTGACCATACCCATCAGACCCTGATGGAAAGGGGAGATCAAATTGAGCAGCTTCAGCGGGCAGTCACTTTTTTCCAGCAGCTTATATGCACCCCTTCTGTTCACGCGGTTGAATTACTGAAAGCAACATACAGTGGTCTCCTTTGTTCACAGCATTTCTCTTGGACCTGCTGAAATTAAAAGACCATATCAATTGTAGATCTTTCAGTTTTGAAATCAGATTGTGATTTGAGATAGAGTCAGAGTCATAGAGCTGTACAGAATAGAAATAGACTCTTCAGTCCAACTCGTCCATGCCAACCAGATATCTCAAATTAATTTAGTCCCATTTGCCAGCATTTGGCCCAAATCCCTCTAAACCCTTCATAGTCAAATAACCAACCAGATACCTTTTAAATATTGTAATTGTACCAGCCTTCACCACTACCTCTGGCAGTTCATTCCATACATGCACCACCCTCTGTGTGAAAAAGTTGCCCCTTAGGTCCCTTTTACATCTTTCTCTTCTTGCCTTAAACCTATGCGCCTCTAGTTTTGGACTCCGCCCCCCACCCACTAACTCCAGGGAAAAGACCATGGCTATTTACCCTATCCATGCCCCTCGTGATTTTATAATCCTCTGCAAGGTCATCCCTCAGCCCCCGACCGTCCAGGGAAAACAGCCCCAGCCTATTTGGCCTCCCCTTTTGGCTCAAACCCTCCCACCCTGGTAACATCCTTGTAAATCTTTTCTGAGCCTTTCAAGTTTCACCACATTCTTCCTATAGCAGGGAGACCAGAATTGAATGCAGTATTTCAAAAGCGGCCTAACCAATTGTACAGCCACAACATGACCTCCCGACTCCTATACTCAATGCTCTGACTAATAAAGGAAAGCATGCCAGACGCCTTCTTCACTATCCTATCTATCTGCGATGTGTTGAGCAGATTCTTCAGTTTGGCAAGGGCTACACAAGGGTTTCCAATGACGGTCAGTAGAGAGATGTCTCAATCACTGTTGCAATTGCAGCTTGTTCTGTAAAGTGTTACAATGCTTGCAACTCTCTCATATTCCAAAGTGTTGTTGTTGTCCTCTTGTGCTTTTATTCTGGGTTCAACACCACCCCATTCACCCTAACACACCAAGTCAAACCTGGGGACAGCACAGAAAGGTGCAGCTCAGGTTGAAGAAAATCCATGATTTTATCGAATGATAGAATAGGCTGGAATGGCTGAATGGCCTACACCTGTTTGCCTTTATTAGGTTATATTGCTCAAATACAGGGGCAAGACGAGATGCGACTAATAACTGCACAGAACTATCATTCAAACATTTGATTAGGTACAGTTACAATCCTGGGTACAGAAGGAAAATTTAATCACTGCTGCTAAGTTACTGACACTGCAGACATTTATAATCTGCAACAAATAAATGAAAGACAGAATGCTAATCCCAACACATATATAAACATCATTCACCGCAATACTTACAGGATGGATCTCAATGAAAAGTGCATGATCTTCCTCATTGGGATTCAGTCCATCAATGGCTTTCCATAGCATAGGGTCAGCATTGTAGAAGTGCGGCTGCGAGATAAAGACTTGAGAATCTGAAGAACATTAAAAAAAAAAGAACCGAAAGTCTCATATTGCACAGAGCAGGACATTCTGTGTAACACATCAGAAGCATTTGAGTGAGCAGAAACCATTCAAGTATTAACAGGTTAAATATGTCACATGAAAAGAAATGAGAGAGCGAGAGCGCGAGACTGGACAATACCCAGGTTTGGGCTGACAAGTAGTAGGTAATATTTGTGTCACACAGATGTCAGGCAATGACCATTTGCAACAAGATAGAATTTAATCATTGCCCCTTGATGTTCAATGCTGTTACCTTCACTGAATCACCCACTATCAATATCATGTGATAACCACTGACTGGAAACTGAACTGGACTCACCACAACAGCAGGTTATAGGATCAGGACACAATGACGAGGAATCCATCTCCTGACTCGCCAAAGCCTGTCTACCATATAGACAAGTCAGGAGTGTGATGGAATATTCCCTATTTGCCTGGATGAGTGCAGCTCCAACAACACTCAAGAAGCTTAACACCATCCAGGACAAAGCAGCCCCCGCTTGATTGGCACCACATCCACCACTGACACAGTAGCAACAGTGTATATCATCTGCAAAATATATTACACTATTCACTAAGGCTCCTTGAACGACAAGGGCATGGGAACACCACCATCTGCAAGTTCCCCTCCATGTGATTCACAATGCTGACTTGGAGAAATATCACCATTTCCTCAGTGTTGCTGGGTCAAAATTCTGGAATTCCCTCCCTAAGAGCATTGTCTGTTAACCTACAGCACATGGACTGCAGCTGTTCAAGAAGGCAGCTCACCCCCACCTTCTCAAGGGGGCAAGTGGGGACAGGCAATAAATGCTGGTCAAAAAGACACCACAGAGTTAATGAAAAAAAAAGGGTAGAATTAGAAAGTTCATACTGAATGTTACAGTTTGTAAAGGTGGTACGTTAGGCCTTAAGATGACCATAATCCCATTAAAAAAATAGAGACAGGTATAGGCTGTTTAGCCCCGTGACCTTGCTTCACCATTCAATAGGATCATGGCTGATCCGTCATTCCTCATGTCCACTTTCACGCCTTGTCCCCTTAACCTTTGATTCCCAGACTGATTAAGAATCTATCTTAGACTTAAAAATACACAAGGACTCTGCCCTCACAGCTCTCTGAAAAGGAGTTACAAAGACTCTCAATCCTCAGAGAGGACATTCTTTCTTAGCTCAGTTTTAAACTGATGTCCCTTTATTCTGAGACTATGCTTTCTGGTTTTGGACTCTCTCAGGAGGAGAAACATCCTCTCAGCATTTACCCTGTCAAGTCCCTGAAGAATTGGTTCGGAGGAAGGGTAACTGGATCTGAAACGTTAACTGATTTTTCTTCAGTTGCTGCCAGACCCGCTGAGCTTTACCAGCACCTTCTGTTTTTGTCCCCTAAGAATCTGTTTCAATAAGATCACCTCTCATTCTTTGAAACTCCAGCTAGCAGAGTTCCAATCTGTTTAATGTTTGCTCACAAGACAATCCATCCATACCATGGATCATACCAGAGAACTTTCTCTGAACTGCCTCCAATGAAACAATAATCTTTCCTCAAATAAAAAGTGACCGAAACTGCTCACAGTACACCAGATATGACCTGTTGCAGTAAGGCTTCCCTATGCTATATTCCAACTCCCTTGAAATAAGGGCCAACATTCTATTTGCCTTCCTGATTACCTGCTGCCTGCGTGCCAGCTTTCTATGTTTCGTGCACAATTTCTCCCAAGTCCCTTGGTATTGCAGCTTTCTGCAGTTCTTCTCCATATACACAGTACTCTGTTCTTTTGCTCTCCTTCCAAAATGAACACCATCAAAATTTTCCCATATTGTCCTCCATTTGCAAACTTTTTGCCTACTTACCTAACCCATCAATATCTCTCTGTAAACAGTTTGTATCTTTCTTGTCATCTGCCTTTCCACCTACCGTTGTGTCTTCTGCAAATTCAGCTATAGAACATTCACTTCCTGCCTCCAAGTCATTAATACTTACTGTAAACAGCTGCAGTCCCAGCGCTGAACCCTGTGGAACCCCACTGGCTATAGGTCGCCTGAGAAATAACCCCTTAAACACCCTGTTTCCTGTCCCCAAGCTAATTCTCTACACATGCCAATATATTACCTCCAATACAGTGGGCTGTTATAGTAGAGCTTGTTTTATTTGTTAAACCATACAATATACTGTTTGTTTAAAAATATGAAACCTTGATGTTGTTTCACTCAGTTTATCACTGGGGGTTGAAATTTCCATTTAATCCTGAGCAATCTCTATAAAGATCCCACCAATTGTCACTGAATCAAAGTCCTAGAACTCTTTCTTGAACGGTATTGAGAGGGTCTGCACATCTCAGGGGCTACAGTGGGTCAAGACAGGTCGTTACCATGAACAAATAAAGAAACCTTTTAGATTTTTCACAAATCTCCTGGTCTGTTTACACCTAGAATCTTGCCAGCACAAATAAAACCTTTTATTCTTCTGTTGAGTAGAAAGGAGTACAGATACTCACTGTGTCTGCACGTACTGACATTCAGAACTCCGGACTCTCTGCATGGACAAAAGCCTTTGTTGGGCGGATACACAGTCCCATTTGCAAACATGGTCTTTGGGGCAACATAATGGTAAGAAGGTATATCTAAAGTCCAACCAGACTTCTGAAACACTAGTTCCAATGTTCTGTTTAAAAACAAAGACATTTTAGTAATGTTAATAAATTTCTTTCTGTACTCATAAATGGCTCTGTGCAAACTCTGAACAGAACAAAGGTCGGGTGTGTAGAAAGTTCCAACACAAATAGCCTATTAAGTCTTCGCCAGTGATTTTCTCCAAATTTCAGTTGGCTGGCTTTTATTATATGACTGGTTGCCAACAGCTTGGTTTCAATTCCTGTGTCACCTTCTCAATCTCAGCCCTTTCCCGAGGCGTGGTGACCCTCTGGCTAAATTCAACCATCAGTTTGTTAAGATCATGTCTTTTTCTTTTTCTGTATTAATTGGGAAGAGGATCCGTTTTAGAACCCAAGAATTTCTGGAGGATTCAAAAGCAAAAATACCGGGAGAAACTCAGTAAGTCTGGCAGCTTCTGTGGGGAGAAAGCAGAGTTAAGGTTCAAGTCCAGTGTGATTATTCTTTGGAACTGAAAGAAGCTGGAAAATAGCACTTTTTAAAAAAATGCTGTTAACAGAGGCGGAGGAGGAGCGAGTGGATCAGATAGTGAAGGTGCCTACAGCAAAATGCAAAAGGTAGTGCTAACGGCGACAGATGTAAAATCAGTGTAAACGTCATCTGTGAAAAAGGAGAAAATGGGTGCACTCACCTGAGAAGCAAACCAATAAGACAGGAGGGTGGGGGGAACATAAAAAACTGGATTCAAGAGATCACACTCTGTAGGTGTGAGGCTCAATATTGAGTTCCAGAGGTTGTAAAGTGCCTAAACAAAATTAGTTCCTCCAGCTTGTGGTGTTATGCTTTACAAGTGTGAGCCAGGCACATGTACTTTCTGCAAGCAAGGGCAAGTCTCTGGAGAAGGCGAATCAAGAACCAGCAAGTCCTGGCAAATGTGAACCCTGCAAACAGTGATCATTGAACTGCCTACCCAGTCTTTCCCTCTTCACCTCACACCCCCACAAGCACTTGCGAGTGTGTGTGAGTGAACGAGTGGGGGGAGAATTGGAGTTTCAGGGGTCAATGTTAAACTAGTAGAGTTATGTGTCAGTAGTTCATAATTGCTTTCCAGTCCTCATGAATGACGATTTATGACAAAGAAACAGATTCTGTTAAGTGTAGAAACCCGATCTGTCCAACTGGAATCTGAACAGACAGGTACGTTGTGGAGTTGTCAAAGTAACAGCTCCACGTGATATTTTAAAACTTAAACTCTCATAACTGTTCAGGGATTGAAAGAATCAGTAACAAGTCTTTCTGGAATAAACAGTTTCCGGAGATGTAAAGGACAAGGAGAAACTGTTACAAAGCAATTAGAAACAACATGTTAATTAACCACCTCTGGGAAAGAGTCATCAATAGGAACATAAACAGGTTGTTTCCAGGGCCAGAGAAGGTAACTTCATAGAATCCCTACGGTGTGGAAACAGGTTCTTCGACCCAACAAGTCCACATCAACCCTGACCCATCACCCTTTAACCCATCTAAGCTACACACCCCTGAACACTACAGGCAATTTACCATGACCAATCCACCTAGACTGCACATCTTTGCACTGTGGGAGGAAACCCACGCAGAGACGGGGAGAATGTGCAAACTCCACACAGCCAGTCGCCCGAGGGTGGAATCGAACCTGGGTCTTTGGTGCTGTGAGGCAATAGAGTTAGTCACTGAGCCACCGTGCCACCCCTGAACTTGATAGAGATACAAAAACCTGCAGATGCTGGAATCCAAGGTAGACAAACAGGAGGCTGGAAGAACACAGTAAGCCAGGCAGCATCTGGAGGAAAGTAGCAGTCAATGTTTCGGATATAACCCTTCTTCAGGACTGTGGGGGTAGGGGGAGCTGCAGATAAAGCCAGGTTTGTTTTTTTTTGGGGTGGGGGGGGCGCGCGTGAAGGTGGTGGTTAGTGAAATGGCGGTGATTTGTGGAAGCCAGTACTAGGTATGGCCTGGTGGGTCAATGGGAGGGATGAATCCAGTGGCATTCATCTTCCATATTGATGACACCAAATGTAGACTGGGTGACCATTTCGCCGAGCATCTTCGCTGGCCTGTAACAGTCAGCCTAACCACCCGGTTATCGCCCATTTCAACTCCTTCCCACTCGCCCCCCCGTTTCTCCTCCAGCATGCCTGTCCTCAGCCTCCCCTGCTGTCACAGTGACTCGGAATGCAAATTTGAAGACCACCACCTTATCTTCTGCCTGGGCACCCTACAGCCTGGAGGACTCAACAATGAGTTCTCTAGTTTCAAATAACGTTCCCACCCATTCCACAGCTCCCTTTCCATCCCGACCTCTTCCCTTCCATTCCACCTTCTGACCCTCCCTTCCAGACAGAAACCAGATTCATCCCTGTGTTCACCCATCACCACCATTCCACTACACGGCCCTACCCACCCCCTCTTTATTTGCAGCACTCCCTACCTCCCCCACATCCAGTCCCAAAGAAGGGTAATACCCGAAATCTTGACTTCTCCTTTCCTCAAAGTAACTTAATAACCTTTGCCTCGTGACATACGAGTAATTCAGACTGCTTGCAGAAGAAATTTCTTGGGGTAAAGGGGTTAACTGCAGGAAAGTTGTTTTAAATAAACACAGTTAATGCTGAATGTAACAAGCTTATCTGCAACTAAATCTTCAACTGCTTGAACAAACCAAATCCCATACAAGATAACAGTGCCCATAACCCATTTCTAAAAGGTGCAGTCACCCCTTCAATAATCCTTCATTTTAAAAATCTTTTTCTCATTTTTGCCCACAATCATAAATACACAACACTTTAGAAAAAGGCTAGCAGAGGAAGAAAACCTCAAATCATTTAAAAGAAGGTACCTGGACATGTCCCTTCAAGTACTGTAACCTGCTTCAGACCAATGACTGGGAAGTGGGGTTAGTCTGGATGGATTGCATTTTGACCAGCAGACAACAGACTAAGAAGCCTCCATCTGTGCCATAAATATTCCACAATTCTATACTGTCAACTTTCCCCACACAGTAGGAACATAGAAAATAAGAGTAGGAGTAGACCATTTGGCTGTTAGAGCCTGCTATTAAAGGCTGCAAGTGCTTTATTATTACCAAGAAGTCTGAGGTAACAGCGCAGCAGAGATGCAATGTAGCAAATTTGTGACCTAATTTACTGGATTTTAACGAATTCTTGTATGGGATGTGGGCGTCAGTGGAAAGGCCAACATTTGTCACTCAGTTCTGGCTGCCCTTGAATTGATTGGCTTGAAACCACATTGCTGAGAGTCTGGACTCAAGTAGAGCAGACTTGGAAGGGAACACAGATTTCCTAAAAGGACATGATGGATTTTCACAACAACTGACAGTGATTACATGGTCACCATTAGGTTAGCTTTAACTTTAGATTTTTAATCAAATTTCATTTCACTGTCAGCCATGGTGGATTTTAATCCATTTCTCCAGAACTGGAGACCTGGATTACTTTTACTGTGATGTTATCACTGTGCCACAGGACCCCACATTTCTCAGGAGTTCCACTCAACAATTCTGCAAACAAAAGCATTCTATTGAATTGCATTTGCTTTAACCTATCAAGCCAGTTCTAAGAGACCTGTGTAGTCTTTTTTTTTTGCAACATATAGATCAGACAGGGATTGTTTCCTACCTGCAGGAGTCTGGGCTGTAAAAGGTTAATGTGTCTGAAGGAGTGATAAATGGAGGCCACATTTCACCTGCTGTCCCATTTATCATGTTACATTGCTTAGAACGCCAGTAGTTAACCTGGATTGGAAAGAAAGGGATAAAATCAAGGCTGCATTTGCTGGCGCTGACATTGGCACTGGCACATGCGCATTTGAATGTGACCAGGAGATGGGGTGCCTCCCAGAATCCCATCCTCACTCCCCTTCCCTGCCTTCACTCTCCTGTCCCTTCCTTGCACCCCTCCCCTTTGTCCTTCCTTATCTCCCCCCCGACTGCCGTCCTTGCAAACCCCTGCTCCTCCCTACGGGAAGCGAGGGAAAAGATTGCTGCCGCTTTGGCAATGATCTTTGCGTCCTCACCATCCACTGGAGTAGTACCAGATGACTGGAGGGTGGCAAATGTCATTCCCTTGTTCAAGAAAGGGAATAGGGATAATCCTGGGAATTATAGATCGGTCAGTCTTACTTCTGTGGTGGGCAAATTACTGGAGAGGATTCTGAGCGACAGTATTTATGATTATTTGGAAAAGCACAGTTTGATTAGAAATAGTCAGCATTGCTTTGTGAGGAGCAGGTCATGCCTCACAAGCCTTATTGAAATCTTTGAGGATGTAACAAAACACATTGATGAAGGTAGAGCAGTGGATGTGGTGTATATGGATTTTAGCAAGGCATTTGATAAGGTTTCCCATGGTAGGCTCATTCAGAAAGTAAGGAGGCATGGGATTCAGGGGAATTTGGCTGTCTGGATACAAAACTGGCTGTCCAATAGAAGACAGAGGGTGGTAGTAGATGGAAAGTATTCAGCCTGGAGCTCGGTGACCAGTGATGTTCCGCAGGGATCTGTTCTGGGACCTCTGCTTTTTGTGATCTTTATAAATGACTTGGATGAGGAAGTGGAAGGGTGGGTTAGTAAGTTTGCCGATGACACGAAGGTTGGTGGAGTTGTGGACAGCGTAGGAGGCTGTTGTAGGTTGCAATGGGACATTGACAGAATGCAGAGCTGGGCAAAGAAGTGGCAGATGGAATTCAACCCAGAAAAGTGTGAAGTGATTCACTTTGGAAGGACGAATTTGAATGCAGAATACAGGGTTAATGACAGGATTCTCGGCAGTGTGGAGGAACAGAGGGATCTTGGGGTCCATGTCCATAGATCACTCAAAGTTGCTACCCAAGTTGATAGGATTGTAAAGGCGGCTATGGTCCATTGGCTTTCATTGGCAGGGAAATTGAGTTTAGGAGCCGTGAGGTTATGCTGCAGCTCTATAAAACCCTGGTTAGACCACACTTAGAATATTGTGTTCAGTTCTGGTCACCTCTTTATAGGAAAGATGTGGAAGCTTTAGAGAGGGTGCAGAGGAGATTTACCAGGATGCTGCCTGGACTGGAGGGCAGGTCTTATGAGGAAAGGTTGAGGGAGCGAGGGCTTTTTTCATTGGAGCAAAGAAGGCTGAGAAGCGACCTGATAAATGATGAGAGGCATAGACAGAGACTTTTTCCCCAGGGCAGAAATGACTATTACGAGGGGGCATAATTGTAAGGTGATTGGAGTAAGGTATGGGGGAAATGTCAGAGGTAGGTTCTTTACACAGAGAGTGGTGGGCGTGTGGAATGCGCTGCTGGTAGTGGTAGTGCAGTCAGATACTTTAGAAACTTTTAAGCGACTTTTGGATAGGCACAAGGAGAATAGTAAAATGTAGGGTATGCAGGGTAGATTGATCTTAGTAGTATAATAGGTCAGCACAATATCGTGGGCCAAAGTGCACGTACTGTACTGTACTGTTCTATGTTCTCATTAATCCGAACCCCCGCCCGCATCCCACAAACCCCATTTCAAATTTGCATTTCCTTTATGCATGTGCTCAGTGTAACCTTTGTGTTCAACATCACACACAAACTGCAACAATGACCTAGTGGGTCTGGGATCATGTGCAGTTGTGGGTGTCAGCAGATGCTGCCTTTGGGAAGTGCTATAAAAAGGTTAATGTGAGAACAGAAAGTAGATTGAACAGACAAGAGTATTGTAGTCAATGCTAAAAGCTTGGCCTGAACAAACAATTCCTAAATTTACAAACCTCTTTAATACCGTTCCAATTGTCTATAAGATGAACTTTAGTAATATTATCGACTCCTGTGTAAACTGTGAATAACCCAGTATTTGAGTTGTTCATCTGTAAAGAGATGGTAAAATCTGCATCAACAACCTTGTTATGCAATGTAAAGATCTGAAGTTCGACTTTCCAAGCTTCTTGCATTATGGATGCCAGCTGTTAACTTCACCCAGTTCATGTACAAATTCAACTTTGACCCCAGCAATAACCTAATACCAAGGTTTATATTTGATAAACTGAACAGATATTCAACAGGAATCAACTTTGAGACAATTATTGTTCACAATTTATGTCAGATCACAGAATGAGACAAATCAATCCATCTGGTGTGTGCCAGCATTTCGAAAAAGCTATTATTGTGAATACCTAATTCTAAAATGCTTTAATATCATTTTAGTTTGGGAATTGAAGTTTTTAAATATGTACTAAATAAGAACAAAGTAAATACCAGGAACTGCAGACCAGTAGCAGAGGGCCATCAGAAACCAAGATTAATTCCTGAACTGGAATCACTAAGCAAGTGAGGCTCATCGGGGGGTTGCAATGTCCATAATCATAAGATGCTTAAGGAGAGTTGGCAGGTAGACTAGCTAGATATCAATATACCATAGGAGTATAACAGAGCACGAAGGAGGCTCAGTGAATTCCTGAGAGTTGTGGTATGGTCTCAGGATTGTGTAAAGTGTAGGAAGCTCTTGACTGGAAACGATGGTAGATCAATGGATGTGTTGTTGAAATTTTCAGGTATAAAATGACAAGTGTTCACAAAATATAAAGCTAAGCCGTTTTGCTTCAATCTTGTACGTTATTATAAAAGTTTGCTTAAAACATGAAACCTGGTTACAGAAGTCTTTCTGCTGCTAACCGGAGTTTCAATTTCTTTTTCAAAAGTCACTAGTACACACCAAGATTATAACACCGTTGTAAGGACTGTTTTCATTATTCTGTATTTTTGATTGTGGACTGAAATGGAAAAAGAACCATTTCAAAAGTAAAGGAGTCATCGGAACACTGTACAAAAAGAGGTCTTTTGGCCCATCGAGTCTGCACTGTCAAAGAACTACTCTAAAGCTTACGAGACTCACTTACCAGCACTTGGCCCGTAGCTTTGAATGTTATGACATTTCAAATGCTCATCCAAGTACTTTTTAAAAGAAGTTATGAATTTTCCTGCCTTAGCTACACTCTCAGGCAGTACATTCCAGATTCCCACCACCCTCTAGATGACAAACCTTTCCGTTAATCCCCTCTAAACCTCCTGCCTTTCACATTATTATCATGCCCCTTGCTACTGACCCCTTAACAAGGGGAACAGCTCCTTTCTATCCACTCTGTCCATGCCCCTCATAATTTTATGCGCCTCAATAAGGTCGCCTCCCTCAGCCTTCTCTGTTCCAAAGAAAAACAACCCTAGCTTGTCCAACCTCTCTTTATAGCTCCATCCAAGGGAACAACCTGGTGAATCTCCTCTGCACCTCCTGAAGCTCAATCACATCTTTTCTATAGTGCAGTGACCCAGAAAGCACACACTACTCCAACTGCAGCCTAACCAAAGCTCCAACATAACCTCTCCTATAAAATATGCCTCCAACTTATAAAGGCTAGTGTCCCATATGCCTTCCGAAATACCCTATTAACTTGTCCTCCCACCTTCAGGGATGGTTGGATAAACATCCCAAATCCCTCTGCATATCTGAATAACAGGGCACTAGGAAGCTCATCGAGTACAAAGAACAATACAGCACAGGAACAGGCCCTTCGGCCATCCAAGCCAGCGCCGACACAATTTGCCCTTCCATACTAAAACTGTCTTCACTTACTGGATCCGTATCCCCCTATTCCCTTCCTATTTCATGTATTCATCCAGGTGCTTTTTGAATGCTGCTAATGTGTCTGCTTCCATCACCTCCTCTGGCAGCGCATTCCAGGCACTTTGTGAAAAACTTGCCTCACACATCTCTTTTAAACTTGTCCCCACAAACCCCCCACCTCCCCGACATCTTGAACTTGTGTCCCCTAGTAATTGACCCCTCCAACCTGTGAAAAAGCCTCATACTTTCCACTCTATCCGTGCCATTCACAATCTTGTAAACTATCAGGTCACCCCCCAACCTCCTGCATTTCAGTGAAAACAAACCCAGTCTATCCAACCTTTCTTTGGAGCTAAAATCCCCCAGAACAGGCAACATCCTGGTGAACCTTTTCTGTACCCTCTCCAAAGCATCCACACCCTTCTGGTGGTGTGGCACGTACTTACTTGCCTTGGTACTACTTCCAAAGTGCATCACCTCACGTGTATCAGGGTTAAATTCCATCTGGCACTGATCTGATCAATTTGTTTATACATCTTCCTGTAACCTAACACCTTCCCCCAAATTGTCAACCACCTGGTCAATTATCTACTAACTTACCCCCAGCCCAACATTCTCATCTGCATAATTTATAAATATCATAAACAATGCAGGACCCCACACTGATCTCTGTGGTACACCAATGCACACTGGGCACAAACAGGACCCCACACTGATCTCTGTGGTACACCAATGCACACTGGGCACAAACAGGACCCCACACTGATCTCTGTGGTACACCAATGCACACTGGGCACAAACAGCCTCAACCACCACCCTCTGTCTCCTGGCACTAAAGCCAATTTTGGATCCAACTTGCCTGGTTACTCTGGATCCCATGTGGCACCTTGTCAAAGGCCTTGCTGAAAATCCTTAGAAAATTACATCAACTGCATCACCTCCACAAAAAATTCAATCAAATTTGTTAGACATGACCTCCTTCTAAAAAAGCCATGATGACTATCCCTGATCAAATCTTGCCTCCCCAAACACAGATTAATTCTCTCCTTCAGAATTTTCTCCAATAGTTTCTGCGTCAATGAGGTAAACACTCACTCGTTTGTAACACCCTGGTTTATCTCTACCACCCTTGTTGAAAAGTAGGGCACATTAGCTGTCCTCTAGCCCTCTGGCACCTCCCCATTGGCCTGGAGAGAAATAAAAATTTGGATCATGCCCCCATAATTTCCTCCCTCATCATCCACAGCAGCCTGCAATACAACTAACTTGGACCTGGGTACTTACCCATTTTTAAAGCCCACCAAAACCTCCAATATCTTCTCACTCCCAAAGTCAACCTGCTCAGGAACCTCTCAGTCACTCTTCTGGGATTCTGTACCTGCATTTCTCCTTCCTCAAAGTGAAAGACACCTGACTTACACCCTCCAGTTGCACACACAGACTGTCCCCTTGGTCCCTAATGGGCTCTACTCTTTCACTGGTTACACAAAGAAACCACGCTGGACAAATCCACTGAAATTCTTTGAAAATGTAACTAGAATGTTGAGCTGCCAGTCCTAGCCTTCTGTCACCAAGTTTCTGTAATGGCTACAACATCATAGTTCCACGTACTAACATGAACTATGGCTTTAAGCTCACCTGCCTTACCGGTTATACACCTTGCAGTAAAATAAATACACTTCAGGCTGCCAGTTCCACTTTGCTCATTAACCTGGTCCTTCAGTTCTTCCCATCAGACTTACTTGACTTAGCATCTACCTGCTTTTCAAATCACTCTACATACCCACCTACTGCTCTGGGTTTCCACCACCATCCCATCCCCATATAAAATTTAAACTGAGTGGCACTAACAAACTTCCCTGCAATACTTAAGAATATCTTGGGATTAGCCCTAATTTTACTTGCAAATGTTTTCTAATGCCCCACTCCGCATTCCTAATTGCTTTGTCAAGTTCACACACTTTTGACACTCTACCAGGGCCTCCAATGATTTATTCCCTTTGTACTTGTTAAAAGCCTCTCTTTTCCGTCTTATCCAGTCCTGAATATTCCTGGACATCCAGGATTCCTTGAGCTTGTGCTACTACATTTCACCCAAAAGGGAATATGTTGGGATTGTACTCTCCATAACAATCTTAAAATACACAGTCAACATTTTAGGTGCATAAGCAAGTTCTGAAGAAGGGTCACAGAACTTAAAATGTTAAATCTGTTTTCTGTCCACAGATACTGCCAGACCAGAGTTTCTCAGCAGAGATGGGGGAAGACTTTTAATGAATATTTCTCCTCAGTGTTTACTGAGGAGAGAATCACGAATGCTAAGGCAATAAGGGGAAAAAGTGGAGATGTTTTGGATCACATACACATTACCAAAGAGGTGCTGTTTGCAGCCTTAAAGTACATTAAGGCGGATTAATCCCCCTAGGCCTGATCAAGTCCATCCTTGGACATTGTGGGAGGAGAGGGGAGAAATTGTAGAGGTCCTGGCAGAGATCTTTGCTTCATCTTTAGCCACTGGTGAAGTTCCGGAAGTCTGAAGGGTGGCTAATGTTGTTCCATTATTTAAGAAAATTAGCAAAGACAAGCCACAGAACTACAGGCCAGTGACCTCAGTGGTAGGCAAGTTATTGGACAGGATACTGAGGGACAGGATCTACCAACATTTGGATGGTCAATGTCAGATTAGGGGTAGTCAGCAATGGATTTGAGCATGGGAAGTCATGTCTGGCAAATCTTTTAGAGTTTTTTGAAGACGTAACCAAGGGGATAGATGAGGGTAGGGCCATGGATGTTGTCTATGTGGACTTTAGTAAGGCCTTTGATAAGGTCTCGCATGGCAGGCTAATCATGAAGGTTAGGTCGCATACGATCGAGGGAGAGCTAACTATTTGGATTCAAAACTGGCTAGGTGGTAGGAAGCAGAGGGTGATGGTTGAAGGTTGTTTCTTGGACTGGGGGCCTGTGACTAGTGGTGTGCCACAGGGGTTGATGCTGGGACCTTTGTTATTTATTATTTACAAGGCATGATTTGTATGCAGATGTACAAGGCATGATTAGTGAGTTTGAGGATGTTACAAAATTAGGAGTTATTGTTGATAGCGAGGAAGGTTATCAAAAATTACAGAGGGATCTTGATCAGATGGGGAAGTGGGCTGAGGATTGGCAAATACAATTCAATATGTGGGCAGCACAGTGGCTCAGTGGTTAGCACTGCTGCCTCAGTGCCAGGGACCCGGGGTCAATTCCACC